CAATCTGCCCTGTTTAGTGTTTACCCAGAAACTACCCCTACCAATGAAAAACTTGAGTCATTTGGTAGTAAAATAAATAATATTTTATTTAATATTTTTAAGTTGGTCAATAATGTGTTTATCTGAAAGCTAAATTAATTTTGTCTAAAGATGCATATCGCGTATGAAAGAATGAGAGGAAAATGTTATGAAAACGAAATTATTTGTGTCTCTATGGATCAGGTCAACGAGGCCTTTGACTGCATATCCTTTTAGCTCCCCATATGGTTCCCCCTGCAGGTGTTGCATCCACCGAGGAATGACCTCAAGTCTCTAGTTTGAGCCAGCAAGAAGACTTTCGCTGTAAACACTTCCCTCAGGAGGTTCCAGGCACCTTCCACTGAGCTGTAGGACTGGACTTAATATAAGGGAAGTCTGGATCTCATCCCACTGAAGTTTTTGTTTTTTCAGAACTATACATTAATAAAGTCTTTATAGATCAAATAATTGTATTGTATGAGGTCACTGAAAAGACTCTCTATATATCTCTAATATCGTCCATGAAGATTAAGGATTATTATTATTTATTGACTGTGCAATATTCTGTGCAATACGCTGACTGTGCAATATATGTGAATATAATAGTCATACCACTACCTCACCGTTGCTCCTTACCTACTACACTTTAATGTAAAAGTCAGTCCACCTGTATATAAGCAATCCTGATTGTACATATGTCACCTCAAATCTCTGTGTTACTCCCTTGTATTTTTTTATCTCTTATTTTTATTTTTTTATTCGTATTTTATTTTTATTTGTTTTTATTCCTAATGCACCTTTTCCTCCTTGTTTGCAGCTTCTTGGAGTACTATGCTAATATGTGACCAGTGAATTTCTGTAATGTGTTACTGGAGAAACACTCCTTCTTTCTTCAAGGCAGCAATGTTACTGGTTATTCAACACTCAACCCATTTTGCCTTTTTTAGGAAAGATCAGTACATCAATTTCTTCAATTTGATAACTTAACTGGAGGATTTGTCTAAAATAAAAGAGGAAAACCATCTTTAAGATGTTGATAAAACCAAAATATTGTAACAGTTCACATGTCACCTCAGAACAAGTTTGCTTACTGCTTTAGATGAGGAAAAACAATCTTTACAAGAAATCATCTAAATGAAGAGATTAGTTTAGAAATTATTAAAGTTTATTAGGATAAAAAGACAATGAAATATGCTACATTTATCCAGTATAGTGTTTGAGTAACAAAATCAAAACAGACATATAATACTATTACAGCCTTTTAATATATACAAACTTTGAATAGATGCTATATAACACAAATTCTGCAAAACACAAAGTTGTCCATTTTCCTTCATCTGGTTTAATCACATTTCTTTTTTTTCACATTAGTGTTTCCATGTAGACTAGATATTTTTCCAAAGTATACAATACCACCAGAGATGCCAGAAAGTTATTTTAGTGTCATTTCTTATCTAATATTAGCAAAATCTTAAATAGAATACAATATTGTAAATAATAGCATAAAGTTTGTTATGTTCTCCATGGATTTTATTTTGTTTTCAGTAGTTTGGTTGTGTCATTTTGTAGTGTATGTTTGCAAGTCTTTAATGCAGCTGTGAAAGAAGGTCGTTGCAGTCTTCAAAATTTTCCAGCTTCTCCACCACCTCAATCAGTCGTTCAATCTTCTCTGATGGAAGCACCAGCTCTGCGTTGCTCCTGAACTTCTTCCTCAGGCTCTCGCTGGTCAGCGGGTTTCGCCAGTGACCATAGAAGGTATCACAACGTCCCTTCAGAATGTCTCCTCCTACAAGTGTCACCTGAACCTCTCCGTACATCTGGTTGAAGTTAGCAGGGTTGTCATGGGGATGCTCCAGCCGAACGCGGTTCAGCAGAGCGTGCAGCTCAGGGCGGCTCATGGCCCATGGGGTGAAGGATTGCACGGTCACCTCACCATCCAGGAGAGCGCTGCAGGCATTAAACTGGAAGGAGTGGCGGGCCTCATGCTCTGACTCAGGAAAAGGCCTGTTGATGTATTTAGACCGAGGGACTCTAAGCAAGATGTCCTGGACCTGATCTGACCAGAACTTTCCAGGACCAACTCCAACAAGAAGCTTATGGACAGAAGCTGCAGCATCTGCCACCCAGTGCATCCCTAGATGAGCAGGAAAGCGCTTGAAGCCCATGTCCTGCTCCTCTAACAGGAATGCATGGCCATCATTGGGGGAATCTAAAGATTGTGGCACATAATCTTCATAAAAAGCATTAAAGCCCGCCACGCCTGCAACAGCATCCAGGACCAGAGGACTCGCCTCTAGGCCTCTAGAGGCCAAGAGGGCAGCTTCAAGTCCAAGACGTGAGGCGTTACCAATGTGAAGGGGTTTAGACTGAGTGGCAGCATTGGCCATCGGGGCTCCAGCCAGAGAAGCAGCTATAGCCAAAGCATGACTGCACTGAGAGGGATCCAGAGACAAGAGGCGAGCACAGGCTGCTGCACTTCCCATAGGACCAACAACAGTGGGAGGATGAAATCTGATAAGGGACACAAAGAATTATTAAAGTGAAGAACAATTCATGCTGGTTGAAGAAACGCATATCTATGTAGTACAAGCAAGATTTCAACAGAATAAACAGATCTCCAGCTAATTTGGTAGGTGTTTTTCATTGGACTGTTTATTTCTGAATAAAACAAGCAGAGGGTGTCAGCCCACTTGAGTTTAAAGAACATACTCCTTTTTCCTACACTTAGTTTATTGTGCTAATCCAACAGAGTATCTGCTGTCCCTGAGATTAACATCTTTACCCTACATTCAGAGCTCCCTGACAACACCTAAATACTGCATGTTTCACATCCAGGGATATTTAGACACTGCACTGCTTAGATCAGCACAGAACCTCTATAAACATATGTGGACACAAGCTGAATAAATGACACATGGAGCTTTGTGCTAAATAAGGTTGATCTTGATTTAACTTGCCTCCACCTCTGAGGAACTGACCTTTTAGGAATATTGCAGGCCTCGTTGGAGAACCTCATCAGGCGGCCCTGGATCTCAATGCCAACATTAAATGCCAGTAAGAAGTCCAGGCCGCTGGGTTTCCTGCTGGCTGGCATCATGTCACTGAGAGCTAACACAGCAGGAAGGACGGCTCCTGATGGATGAGTTGCTGGATGCCAGGTATCATCAAAGTCCATGGAGTGAGTCTGAGAGCGAAAACACTATTTATCAGATGCTGATACATCAGAATGAAACTATAAGCATTTTAATGATCAGTTGCAACATTTCACCTGTTGCCAGTAAAGTGCCTGTTTGTGTGTTGGTGTGGTAATTATATAAATTTACCTAAGAACAAACAAGCTTGAGGTTTGAATGATTTCTCTGGAAGAGGAAGTACTCATGGAAATGTTTTGGTCCACCTGGCTTGTTTTTATTCTTGTAACTAATCCTGTTTTTCTAGGGGCCAAACTCAGGGACAGAGTAAATCTGTCCCTGTACCTGAGACCAAACCTTTTCCAGTTATTCACACTCACCGCCACTCCATTGACAAAAGCAGCCAGTGTTGGGGAAAGCCTGACGCCGCTGCGGCCGTAAACAGAGCTGATGTAGTCAGCTGCATACATGTGCTGAAGGTCATTGGACACAGAGGAAAAAGTGGATTAAATGATCTGTTCTTGACTCAAAGTGTTTTAATAACCAGAGATATTTTTCCTCCTTTGACCATCAGTTCACGCACTGACTCTCCCATGACTCTGCACTTTTGATAACATAAGATCACTGATTTTGAGGATAATAATAAAGTTTTTGATTTACCTGGCAGTGCTGCAGGGCCAGTTCAAACACATCTGTTGTGCCCCCAATGAGACCGACCCCTATGCTGTCCAGCACCATCCTTTTACTGCGCTGGAGCACCACAGGAGACAAATGCTGAGGCTTCACTTCATTGATGAACCTCCCAAAACTGGCTGTAACTGTTTCCTCATGGGGTCGGTGCTTCAGGACTGCAATAAGGTAAAGTATGAACAAGGGTTAAAATTTGATAAGAGCACAACTGTGGTGCAACAAGATCCAACTTGGGTGAAAATATGTTTCGTTTTGGTGAGAAAATAGGCAGAAGCTCTCACCCTGGACAGCAGATTGATGCACTCCTCTGACAGCCCAAACTGACCAGGTGGTTTTCTAAGAACAAATAATACAAAATCTATCCGGTTACACCTTCAACACCTTAAAAGGAGGTTTAAATTTGACTATTCTTATTTAGAATAGAGTCCTATTATAGGAAGCTGACACCACTACAATTAGTTTTTTGTCACTGTCTGACTCACTGTAGACTTAACTGAGATTGTTACTCTAATGAATATCCATCAGGTCCCCTGAGGGAGCTGTTGCATATATTGTAATAGAAATGGTTTACCCCCGTTCTTAAAAAGGTCTAATTTAAAACAATTGCTTAACATTTATTCTCAATAAAAGGCAATAAAATGCAAAGAAAAAAGAGAAATGTGTTAAATGTTCTCTTTAAAGATTTATGGCTCTTTTTAAGGACTTTAAAAGTGTATTTCTCATTTTTCACAAATGTAGAAACAGCTCCATTCCTACCTGTAGCACTGACAGTATGACCCCAACTTGTTTCTTTCTTCTTGTCCCTTTTGGTTCCAGCAGCGATGCTCTACAGGGTGCTGATGTTTCTCTGGTTGTTAACCTGCCTGCCTTATATAGAAACACAAGGACCAAAAAAACTGGACAGGGCAGGGCAGGTGTATCAGTGACAACTCTCCATGAAATGAAACTGAAGAATTTCCTTGATAGTCATTTTCACCTATTGTGATGCTAGGCATAATCATCTTCCCCGAGGAGGAAGGAGGAGGAGGAAAAAATTCAGTTAGTGATGTCATCTCTTTAACCTTGTTAATTGCCTGTTTGAGTGGGGAAATTTTCGTGAGCTCCTCCCAAACGCCAACATGTCCTATTTATAACAGGCTTTCACACTGCTGCAACAAATTTCCACACTTCATTTTTCTTTGATATCCCGACAGGTAAGGAACTTCACCTAATTTTTCTCTTTTACTTACACAAAGTAAGGTTTTCTGACTGTATGTTACCTTAACCCCAGAATTATTCATACTGTAATTATTCAACTATTGTCAGATTTAGATTTTTAATTATTATCTTTCAACAAACTTTGTTTCTGTCATGATATGATATGAAAGATGTCTGTTTTTATTTTGGTTTGGGGGGAAAAACGGTGAGCCTTAATCTGCCATTCATGTGAATAACCTTAGCTTAACAGTATCCTCAGTATCATATAAACTACCCTGATGATGATTTTATTGATTTCATTTTCTGAATTTTTTTTTATACTTTGATTAGTGACTCCATGAAAAGGACTAATCTTATATTTTAAAATGTATAGCTGACTAAGCTTTGACACTCATTCTAAACCAATAATATATTTTACTTGGCTGTAAATAGCTGCTTTTCAGAGATTAGAGCAGGAGCTACGAATACAAACTAGTTTCTCACATTTGTCACATTGCAACAATGGCTCTGCCCACTGATGACAGAGCAGGACCAACAGGTCACAGATATGTTTGAATATACTGAGAGGTTTCAGGACAATATAGCACTATATCTATAGAAAGTATTCCCTGAAGACAGCAGAATGTTTAAACCTAGTTTCGCTCTGAATGGTGAAACCTTTGTATTTGGTTTAAATATTTTTGTGTTCTTCTGGAAGTGTTTGTTTTCATGATTTTTACTGTCTAGTCTGTGTTGTTTCTCTTATGTTTTTAATTCGACTGTAGATTCGGAGTGAAAAATGGCAGCATCAGATGGGTTTCCTGCCAGTTTCTATGGGGAACCAGGAGTTTTAGGCATGCTGTCAAATGGGATCAGTGCATTCCTTGTACTTTTACAGAACTTCTATACAGCTCACAATGGCAAAGCTCCAGTTGGAATAGAGAACATTCTTGCAGGTAAAATAAAATTGAAATGAAGTGTTCAGAAATACATAAAATTTGCTTTAATAAGTAAACCGCCATTTTGAAACCGTTTTCCAGGTGTACATCTCATCCTGATTGGTGGGGTTTGCCAGTTGGTGGCTGGACTGCTCTCCTTCCGTAAATACGACCATCTGAGCGGTACTGCTTTCATTGGCTATGCTGCTCTTTGGGGCAGTTATGGTGCAACCAGAATCTACTATGGTGCCTTGTTTGAAAATCCAAATATGACATCAACAACAGATCAGATGCTGAGCAATTCATCCTTCGACATGATGAGCAACATGTCTCTCAATGATTCCAGGCAGTGCTACTTATGTCTGTCCATAGAAGAGTCAGCCATTGCTGGGCTAGTTCCCTACATCCTGCTCTCATTTCTTCTTGCATTTTGTTCTGCCACAGTCAACTACATCATGCCTTTTGTTTTTGGAGCCATCACTGGCACTTTGATCTTTGAAGCAGTTGCTCTGGCAGCAGACTCCTGGGCTCTGATAGTCTCTGGGGTTCTGGAGTTACTCATTTTGATGTTTGCCATCTATGGTTCAGCTGCTCTTCTCATCAAAGGTCTGACTCAGCGTCTAGCCCTGAAAGGTTTTGGGACCCCTCTCTTTAATGTTCTTCTACTAGGGACCCCCAACACAGGAAAAGCCCAGAGTGGAGGTCAAGAGAAAAAGAAAAACACAAAATATGCAGAACCAATGGCTCTAGGTTACTTCTGTGACTCCATTGCTCCATTCATCTTTGCTTTCTACAGCTTTGGGTACATGAAATCATTTGGCTTAGGGGTTGCATGGGTCTCAATCATCTCAGTTGCCCAGCTGTTCTCCAGCTACTATGCCCATCTGCGCCAAGATTGCTACCACACCACAAAGTTTGGGTTCCATGCCACATATTGGCTGATCAAAGCTTGGGATGAGTTTGTTGTGTCTGTTCTAATAGTGGAGGAGAGTAAAGTTGTCTCTGGCAGGGAAGCAATGGTAGGAGACTGGTTCTTTGTGGCGGCAGCCTTGGTGCTCTGTGTGGGGAGCCTGAACATGGATGTCCTGGAACTGATCCATAACTTGTTCTTTGTCCTTCTCACCATCTCTACAATCCCTCAGATCCCACTGCAGGGTTACTACATCTTCTTTGGTGTAGCTTGTTCTCTCTTCACTGCAGTCTCTATCTATGGGACCTTCACCCGTCTCATCAACACCATTGCAGAAAAGTCTCTCATACCTGTAGGACCTCAGCCAGTGTCCTCTGAGAAATTGAAAACTGCTTTAGGATGTAGATCCAAACACGGAGATCAGGATGTGCTGTCACAAACTGATCAGACCTCAGATGCTCTGTTCTATCTTCTAAACGGGGTTGCAGCTCTGTCAGCTCTTCATTCAAGAAAGATGAGTTTGAACCCTTCCCTCCTGCACCTGACCATCCCCTGGGTCCTGATATCTGGAGCCATCATCCAAGCCTATGTCAGCAGGTTGCAAGTGACAGGAGGCGGCCGCTTTGGATCAGTCATCTCCTCAATCTATGTGGTTGTCTGGGCAACATGGACATGGTTTAGATTTGCAGGTATGTTATTGCATTTATAAAACAAGCATGCCAACATTTGATGCTGTTTAACCAGGAATTGCATCTCAAGTTATTTTTCTCTCCAGGTAACCAGCTTGAGTTCTCCACTGAGGCAGATTATGGTTTTACAGCAGGAGCCATCGCCTTCCTGGTTATTAATGCTTTCCTGATATTGATTGGTAAGTTTTATCAAATCATTTTCAATTTTAGATGTTTGTGCATTGTTTTCTATTGACTAGTTTGATAATCTTTTGTTAACTTTTCCAGCTGCCTATAAAAACTTGGTTCTTCTGTTTCTAACTACACTCATGGAGGTGGTTCTTGTCTGCTTCCTTCTCTCCACTCTGCACAAACTGCCGTATGAGCTTGAAAGTAAGTTAGTATGAGCCTCATATACCAAAAGTTTTTTATTATCCTAATGAATCTTTATTAGCTTTGCCTTACAATGTACACATATTGATACTATTTCCCCTCACAGTAGCTATGCTTGCATTGATGTCTCTCATATGCATATATGGAACTTTGACTTCGTTGATCAACTGCATTTTCTCAACAAGAGTGTTGCCAATGGGACCTCCCATTTTTAAGGTAAATACTCCAATGACTTTTTGATCCAGTTTTTTTTTCATTAGACATGAATTATTCAGTATAATCATTGTATTATCTCTGGTTTTAGGAAAAAAATAAATCAGAATTAGATCAGGAGACACCCTGTCCAGTGGCCAGCTCTGGCCTCACCAGCGGCCTGTTAAGAATAGCTGGGCTTCTGGACGACGGAGGAGTGTGCGGTATTCCCACAGACACTGTGTATGCTCTGGCTGCCTCCTGCAAGAATCCCCAGGCAATTGAGAAAATCTACAACATTAAGGTAAAGGAAAATATATATATGGGTCTTGTGTAACCGTAGTAATGCACCGATAATTTATGTTTTTAAAGGTGTGTATGTAATGTAATATCATGTCAAATGGGATCTTTTCTCCAGGACCGACCAGCAGAGAAGCCTATATGTATTTGCATTTCCAGTGTAGAGCAGCTGGTGGCAGCCAAGCCTCCTTTTAGTCCTCTGCTGTGGGAGTTCATGAGGAATGTTTATCCAGGAGGCATCAGCTGCATCGTCAGCAAAGGAGACTGGCTTTTTAAACTAGGTAGACTAAGTAGAGTCATTTTGATGATGCTCATGAGTTAAAATCAGCCTGGTTAATTCAATGAAATCAATTATCTTCAACTCAAATATCAACTTTCCTTCTGCAGGAGTGGGAGCAGCTTATGACCGTGTTGGTACCAGGGACAGCATCATGATCCGTGTCCCTGACCATACGGTGACCTGCCACTTATGTGACATGACTGGACCACTTGCCATCACATCAGCCAATCCCAGTGGAGAACCAGACAGCACCCACCACAGCATGGTCATCAAGTAAGACATTCCTAAAAAAAATATAAAAAAACATTATTATCACAGCATGTTCTCAAACTTTGATATTAATGATCACTTCTTAAATTTCTTTTTCATCACAGTCGACTGGGACACAAGATCCAAGGGGTTCTCTGTGATGGAGACTCCAATGAAGTTGTTGCCTCAACTGTAGTCAACTGTCTAAGAATTGATGAAGGTAGGGGAAAATAATCAAGGCCCCTCCTCATTATGCTGTTGTTGTTGTTTACCCAGCATGCTCTAACTAAAGACTTGTCTACTTTGTTCAGGTATCATCAGCATTGTAAGAGAAGGCTGTGTCCCTGCGGTTAAAGTCCAGCAGATCTTTGATAGGCTGAAAAACACAATGTTGTGAGATTCATAAAGAACCTCATCATGATTTCCTGTAAAGATCAACATGTTTGTAAAACCATAGTTGTCTCTACAAATACTAAGTCATGTGATATTCATTCATTCAAATGTTGTATCCACTCTAAGTTGAAGAATTTTAGCTTAGATAAAGTTATGTGATCCTAAAACTGTAAAAACTGGATGTTTGTTTGAGATTACATATTTGTATGAGAAAAAAAATGTAAATGTGTAGATATTAAGCAATGTATTTGAAATGTCCTCTTTGCACACATTGTTACTGTTTAAATTGAGAAAACAAATGTTCTTATTTTTTTATCATGCTTTCGTTTAAATTTCTCTATGAAAATAAAGTATTTGAAAAAATATTCAAACTGATATTCAGTGTTTCAAATTTTATGGTTTTCAAATAGAAACTATGCATATAAGATGGCAAATGATGTAGAAAGCACAAATACAAAGCATGGCCCTGAGAGTGTAAGGAAATATTTTGATGCAATAATGCAAAGGCTAAATAAGTAATAAGACATAAGAAGCATCTTATATTCAGCTGAAGGTTTTTCATAAACATTTTAATGTGTAAGAAAGTGAAAGAGCATTATCCTGTTCTGTGATGTGTTTATGCTGTTCTTTAAACCACTTCTCAGATCTGGTTTATTTAAAAGGCTGTAAAGGACATTAAATACATTTTGGACATGTTTATGTTATATTAAATAAGGGAGACAGGTTGTGTGTTCAGTCTAAAAACATGTTGCCATTGTAGTGGATCCTAAATAAGATTAAATCAAAAAGTAAATCTATTTTTATGTGATGTTAACATTTTCCACCTGTAATTCTTGGTCACCTGAAGGACATCTGACTCGCAATCTGCTTTAAAAACTAAGAAATTAACTTGATTTAAAATCTGCATAAAGACATTTTCTAACATAACAGAAGGTAAAATATAGATATCGGAAGAGTGTTGGGCAGGATGGAGTATTTTGTACAGCACTGCCCACAATCACCTGTTGCTACATGCTATCAGTTAGCCTTTCTTTAAGCCACAGGGGATGTTTTTTATTGCTTGCAAAGACAACCAACTTGGTTGTTTGAAAATATTTCTTCTAGCAGAAACACAGACATGCTTGAAGTACTGTACAGTACCTATTTACAAACCAGTTACCAGAGGAGAACTCAATCAGGTAATAACAACTTATGTTCCCTTAATTAATTTAGGAGGGGGTAGAAGAGCAAAATGGTTTATTATTTTGCACAGCAGATACTTAAAAACTGGTTCCCTCTAAAGAAAATCTATATTGTTCTGTTAATACTTAGAATATTTAAGTTGTGGTTCAAGTTTTAATAGGCTGCTTAAAGCATCGACTAGCACTATGCTCCCCATCCCCCACCTGTTTCTGCACATTGATGTCAGCTGGGTGAAACGGCTGGATTACATATATTTCTTTAAGTTATTTTGGCCATGCTTGTTACGAGGGTCAGACAAAAAAATGCATCTGATGTTCTTTGCAATAAGGTTTAATCTATTTTTTCAAAGCAAAATGACATCAAATATTTCTGAAGGTAGCATGACTTTAAAGGTTAATATGTTAAATCAGTGTAGTAATAATTACAGCTTTATAAACCATTATATTGGCTTGTTTTGTGTCCTATTCATAGTGATGATGCCTTGGTATTTTTAAGTTTATTATGATCCATTTATTTTCTGCAAAACTTTTTTGCAGAACAGCTCATACACAATATCATTGTTTTACTCTGCATACGTTAAAGTTAAAATGTCAGACATTTCTTACATGACCAACTAAAGTTAGCTGGAAAGAAAATGAACTGGCTGTAGTAAATCAACTTTATTACTGTAATTCTGACAACTTTATTATTTCATTCTGACAACTTCAGTGTCAATAGAACCTAAGAAAATGTTAACTTCCAATGGGTGAGCAACGTTCTGTGTATATCCACAGTAGGAGAGGGTGTTTGCATCTTATCCTGGTTATTGTCACACATTCTGGTTTTTATCAACTTAGCAGAGAAAAAAAATCCGAATTAGTTTTATTGCTGACTTTCAACTAAACCTGGATATGACTGTGAATGCATGGTTTTAAATTATGTGTGTTTATGTGACAGTGTCTGAAATGGACTGGCTTCCAGGATGTACAGTTTATCTACCATAAGTTTTATTTGGATATTATGCAAATCGGGAAAATATTATGAGTGGTAAACATAATAATTTTCTTTACATGTAAAGGTTTAAACGGCCATCATACCAAACGGATATCGGTTTAAATTAAAAAAACAAATTTTTAAGGTTACTTGAAATCAATTTGTTATGCCATTCTTTTAAAGAAGAAGTTCAACTTCCACTTGTTTTTGGGGTTTTTTTCCTCTTTTTTTAAATCATTTTTTTATGAATTTGCATCATAATCAGTAATACGTTTCTCATGTCTCTTCTCTCAGTGAATAAGTAAAAGAAGGGGTGGCTTTCTTAATAGAATTTATTTATAGGAAATTCTTCACATTCCTCTTTCGTTCCATTCATCGTATTTTCCTCATTCTAAAAAGCATTTTTCTAAAAAAATAAAATGACAGATAAAATAAAATGAGATAAAATTAGACATATGAAATGATTCTGGTTACATCATATTCCAAGTGCTTTTGCAGAAAGGAAAAATGTTACGTAGGACTGTTATATTTTCATACTCTCTTAAATTAACCCTGGCGACTCATAGAAGTACTTCTGTGATTTGACTTTGGTGTTTTAGTCATAAATCTTTATTTTAAAAACTCATACTAAGATCAGCAAAAAGTAACCATAGCAGACTAATTCATTTAAAATCGCTCTTATCTTTAAAATTATGAATAATATCACATTCATTAATAAAATGCTTGTGATTTTTTTTTAGATGTACAGTAAAGTATTTACATTGTTCAACCTATATATTTGGCATCTGATGTACATACATAATAAGGTGTTCACACTTTTATTACTTTACTCAACCAAAATCTAAGTTTATATTATAAGGACTTATTGTAATAAACCAAAAATGTAGCAGGGCATAATTTTGAAGTGGATAAACAGGATACATTCTTTTTTAGTCTTCTTTTTTCTTTTTAAGTTACTATACGAAAAGTTACTTCTTTTATTGTTTCCATCCCCTTTCTTCTCAAACCCCTACAGAAAAAGATTAGGGCCACTGAAAAAGTCTAAAGAAGTCAGAATTATCTTTTCCCATATTAAAGTGAAATAAAATAAGATAATCTGTTAACTTTTTTACTTTTTCAGTGGCCTGAATCCTCTTCCACATATATAATCATATATATATATATATATATATATATATATATATATATATATATATATATATATATATATATATATATATATAAATATATATGTGTGAATCTTTGACTTTCTGTTTCAGTAGAAGACAACACATACAGTAACTATACAGCAGGTATTATCAGTGCAGTAGTCAGATATTTCTTTCATGAAATGTTCCTTAATAGGACTGGAAAACTCAGTCAAAGCTAAAACCTCAATAAGGCTAAAAGAGGAATAAGAAAATATTCTTTCTCCTTATAGGTCTGCCACCCACAGAGCAATGACACATGAGCTATGTCACTGAATTTTAGTCTTAAAACAAGAAATAGCAATCATTGCAGCTGACTGTTTTTTAAACAGATTTAATGACATTTTACAACTTGCATAAACGTTTTCCAGAGTTTTGCAAAGTGAATATAATAATGAATATAAAATATAAGGTAGCAGGTATCAGGTAACAGAAGATGCTTTTAAGATTTCAGCCATCATAGTCATTTTGCGTTTACTCTTTATTGTGCACACCAAATGTACATTTCAATGAAATTAGACTTCTGCATATAACCCATCCCCCTGTATGTAACCTACCCTTTGAAGCAGGGAGCAATCTGGGGTTAAGGGTCATGCTCAGAGACCCAGAGTGGCAGGCAGAGGGGTTTGGATCAAATACTAGCAGCAGACATATTGCTCAAACCACTATTGTTGTGCAAACAGTCATGTTTGCAGTCATGTTTGATTGTTCAGCATGAATATATTTTTTGTCCTTGTAGTTGTAAGTTCCATTAACAGCAGTGGTGTCTTGCTTTCTGATTAGACATGAAAGAATACTATCAAATTCTTCTTTTTTTGTAGTTAACAGTTAGATTCTAGACTGTGTCCTGGAATTCTTACAAAAGAAAGAGTAGGTTACAATAAATAGGGGGGTTGGGGGTGTATCCATGTCTTTATAGACTGGATGATCAATGTAACTTAGGGCTTTTTTGTCTATAATCCACATTATTGTCATGGCCTTTTATATCATGTGTTTTCTGATGTTTTTAAACTGTGTTATGAAGCACTTTGTGGCTTTGGTCTATGAAATGTGCAATACAAATAAAACTTACTGAATAAGGCTTATACATAGTTTTCAATCTATTTTCTATTTTAGTTAGAGGTGAGTGGAAGGTTATGATGGTAAAATGGTAAAATGGCATGTACTTATATAGTGCCTTTTTTCAAGTCAGGAGACTTGACCAAAGCGCTTTACACTACAGTACATTCATTCACCCATTCACACCCACACTCACACACTGATGGTGGCAAGCTACATTGTAGTCACAGCTGCACTGGGGTTCACTGACAGGTACATCAGATGAATCTTACTGTCTGATTAGTAAAGGATGTCTAAGTATGGTTTAAAGATTTTAAGCGTTTAAATGTTTTAAACATATTGGTTAGGAAAATTACCGAATGATTTATCTACTTATTTCTTGGTACACTTCTTTATTTCATGGGTCATTCATATTAATTTATTTCATGATATATTTTCATTCTCCGTAAATCACATAAGAGGAATCAACTTTGTAGCATGATTAAAAAATAGAGAAAATTAATTTTGAATTAATATGAACATGCGTTTGTGTCACTGGGTGTGGGTTATATAATTTCTCTCTAAACGATGTTAAAGACTATGTTTTGGTAAGTTTACAAAGAACAGCTTCCATTCGGAGTCCTATCCTGGAAAAGGAGGCCTCCCGATACTCAAACACTAACACACAGTGGTGAGAGTATTTCCCAGGCTCCTTCCCGGTTGCTCCTAACTATTGGGTGGGAAGGTTTCACAGAAAATTATATTGTAACAGTTCAGGAGAATTTTTCAGAACAAGTAATCAGGAAACAAGTCATCTATATTGCTGCCTGGACACCATTCTAGGATTCAGTCTAGCAAATATCAGTTATTACTCTTTATAAACCTGTACTGCAACAAAACATGTTCCTTTTGTTTTTGGTTATTTACAAGTCAAAACTTCCCATAGCCAATAAAATG